GGAACCAAGAGGAGTTTGCACGTCGAGGTGCAAGTCCCTGGCCCGCTTGATAGTCCTTCTGGACCCTGACGATCGCCAGCGCTTCGACTTTGATGCCTACGACACCACACGGCTCGGGGAGGCGCTGTGCTGCGACGTAGTGCATGCTGCCTACCCCAGGCTCCGCTACAGGAAGCTGCCATCCAAGGCTATGCCCATCCGCCCCCATGCCTGGCGCTCCGGCACCGCCCTTGCAAGACCCCAACCCCCTGCCGGCTCGCTGAGCCGCTGCCGTAAACCACTAGGAAAGCGCACCTACCCTGAGTTCCGACAGTCTGCCCGATGCAAGCTCGTCGAGCTCGGTGGCCGCTGGGGCATTGAAACTGCCACCTTTGTCAAGCTTTTTGCGCGCCTCCGTGCGCGGGCCGCGCGGCTCTTGCCGCGGCCTGCTCTCCTTTGCAGCTTGCCCGCGCCTTCGCTGCAAGCCTTCTCTCCTTGCCCTTCGGCGGCACAGCTAACGTCGACGGCAGAAAAAATCGAAGAACAAAGCATAGTTGTCGGGTAGTTTTGTGGAGACCCTGCGGTGGCGCGCGAGCTTGGACTTGAACAAAAACTTTGGATAGAATGGAACACACGTGGTTCTTCGAAGCACTTCATGACCAAGGTGTTCCACAAAGCTACATCAGCTTGCTATAAGCACTGTAACGATCACAGACTGGCCAAACGCAAAAGTCCAACAAGGTGATGTGCTCAGTCTCGCAGGTTTCAACACAAGCTTTGAGCTCAGTTCCTCCAAAAAGACAATGTTCACGATTCAAGTGTTGACGAGACCGTGGAAAGTTTGCGGAAGCACTCATACAAGATCGGACACAAAAGCATTTGCGACGCCGCATGTGTGGCTCATTGACTCAAAGACATGTGGTTGAGTTTCCTTGCAACACTCGAAATGCTCATGGCACAATGGCCCCAACTCCGTATAACTCATAACTCCGTCGTACGGGTTGAGCAAATGTTGACATTTGTTTACGCTCAAAAAAGGCGGTTCACTGAATACTTGCCACTTGGAAATATTGCCCAGTGCAACACAAGCATGCAGGTCTTTCCGATTTCGCAGCTTCCCGGGGTTGCTGCCACTTGAACGGTCATGACCTCTGACTTTTGCATTCCATATATCGAGTGCTGCAGGTGCGAAAAGGCCAGTGGCGGTGTTGCATGGGCATTGGCTGGACTGTCTGTCAAATCTACGGCGGCAGTGTTGCTATCGGATGCAAAAGCATTGTCGGGCTGCAGAATGCGCCTCGATGCATTCAAACAGCAGAAACGTTGCTGGCTGGTTGCTGGTGGTGCCGGTGAGCAAATGTTTGTCCGCCCAACAGTCGGTGTCCTAGCCCTAGCCGCAGGCAGTCGCAGCACATGAATCCACCTGACGGACTACCACTTACCCCGCGTTAGGGCCGCAACGGCTAGCGGTGGAGCAACGTGTCCAGCCGAAGGCTGTCGCTAGTTTCATGCTGTAGCAGTCGCTTGCGGCAAACTGCAGCAGTCGACAGTTTCGGCGATCATGCCTTTGCTTGCCCTCGCGCAGGTTCGCAGGCCCGGGCCAAACTCGCCGCCCCAGGCGTTGGTGCGGAACACAAGCGCCGGCATGCACCGGCGTCACTTCGTGGTGTTTGGAACAGGACACCGGCAATGTCTGCAGCGGTGGTCGATGGAGCCGTGCTGAGGGTGAGCGCCGGAAGCTTGCTACCCAGCCAGAGTTTTCACAAGGCGGGCCGCAAAAACTTGGATTGTGGCGCACGGGAGCTGGTCGGTTTGCACTCTGGCAGGACCGCCCACTCAAACGCTAAGGCCCGGTGCTGCGTGGTACAGCAATTGGGCAAGTCAAGGCGCAAACACGTGCTCGCAACGGTCCGCCCAGCCGGGTGCAGGGAAGCGTAGGTGAGTCTCCACGCGCTGTCACGATGCGGAATTCCAACACGCGTTTTGCTGACTTAGACTCCGATGGGCGATGACGTGAACACGTCGTGCCGAGGACGGGTCAGCCGGCAGCTGGCCAGCTTGCCAGACGCTTTTCTTGCACAAGCCGGGGCCTGGGCATGCGCGAAGCGAAGCAGGCATGAGCGCTTCAACAACCATTTGCACAACGCGCCTGCGCAACGTCATGAAACGAGATATTTCCCAGCAGCAGCAACAATTTCAGGACCGCAAATAAACTTGCAGAAACCATCCTGGACGCTAAGCCCGAGGCTTCGCAGGCGCATGCCAGACCTCTACATGCTACTGGTAAATTCGCATTCTCATGGTCGTCTGCACCACACATGTAAAATACGATGTTCGCTGTCTTGGCGTCGGGAGCTATGTGCACACAATATGTGGTGGCATCGCTTGCCGAAGTGTTCGTCCTCAGCAGTGGCTGGCAACCGACGGCGCGAAATGAACACTAGAACGTTTAGTTTGCATCCAGATGCGAAAGAATTTTCGTAACTCCCATGGCTGGGTCAAGAACACAAAGGTAAGCCATGCCATGCCGAAGCCGTCCCTCCAAATTCGTATGAGCCTGCGCAGTGAATGTTCTGTCTGTCGCAGCATGGCACGCACATCCCAGTTTCGCAGTGCGACGGGATCAACAAATAATGTCTCTGCAGGTTTAAGCTTTGTTGCGCCAAAGCGAAATTTGGTCAGTGAGCCATTTAGTATTTGCTCCCCTTGCAAACTACTTCATGCTCTGCTGAGCCGTGTTTCGATCTGTCACTTGCCGTTCTTAATCTCTTTTGTTTGTATTCGTGCTCGCAGCTGTCAGCTCGGTGTCTTTGTTGCATTTCCTGCGATCCCTAGCAACACATTGCAAGACCGTCAAGCTTCCGAAAAGTCGTGCCAGCTGGTCCGGACCGACAAACGCAACACTGCTCGTTCGCCAACCTTTCGCGCTTGTTTGCTGCAGAGACCACAGTTATACCCTTCCGACAACGGCCGGCTGCCGCCAGTGTTGAATTTATCGCCACGTTTCAGTCCGACCAATGAGTACCAAGCATAGCAAACGCACGTGTCCTGAACTTTTGCGCCTTTGATGCTGCAACCGCGTTCGAGAACAGCAAGACACTGTCTAGACTGTCTGGAGACAGATCGGCGAGCACCGGCTCCTGCGCAGACATGCGGCATGTTCGCATTGATATGAATGTGCACCGGACGACTTCACTGGCAATTGACATGCCTCTGTGATCGCAACGCCCGCTCCAACAACGCCCAGGACCGACCGTCGAGAGAAAGGCCTGACAAGCATCACCGTTTGCTTCTTGGGCTACTTTGAAGGATCCGCGCCTGTTCAGCACGAAAGTCGGCCGAACAGCTCCCAGAAAAATGGCAGCAATGGCCACCGCCGGAAGTTTTCCTAACAATATGCAGAACATCGCAACTCGTTATTTTTTCTGGATATCTTTGCGTTAGCGATAATCATCAGCCTTGCTTGGCAGCTATGCGGCGCCATCGGCATGCACGTAAAGCTTCCATCTTCCGATCCATTTTCTGTTGTGGTCGGGCCCTACCCAAAGCTCATGACTCATGCTCCGATACTGTAGTATCTGCAATGTGTGTGTGTGTGTGATGCCATGTCCCACTAGCTGACAGTTCCTACTGCCCGCTGCCATCATGGGATTAAAATTTCACCGTTGTCATGACACCCGTCATTCTCAACTACGTGTAAGTTTAGGTTACTGCTACGCAAGATACGGCTTCCATCATCAGTCCCACATGTTCCCCAAGTCGCAATCGGCATGGGCATGCAGGCATGCTTCAACACAAAAAAATGCCCACATGCCAATACTTGTTGATCGGCTTCGCATGCAATGTGCAAACATTCTGCATGTTGCATGTGTGGCGGCCGCCACATGTCATCCATCACTTTTGAAACGGAAGCAACAGAGGCTTCAAGTGTAGGTGACCATGCACCCAATCAGAACCGAAACACTCGTGCCCTGCTCCTTTACAAATTCCGGCAGTTCGATCTCGAAGAGTCTTCAGTGGCTTGTTTGTTGTGACTCACACATCCTTGTCCACAGGCGCTGGCTTGTCCCATCGACACCGACTGAGGCTACCAAGTCGTGCGGACAAAGTTCGCGAGCTGCTTATCTTTCTTTTGTCCAGGTGATGTCTGAATCCTGAACCAAAACAAACCTTTTCGACAAAACCTCTGTACACAGTGGGCGACTGGACAGCCGGACTCTGTACACTGTGGGCGATTACGGGCGACTGTACAGCCACACTCGTGATCCGGCGGAGCGCCCAAAAAAAAACAAAAAAAGGCGCAAGGCAAAAGCGGGCAAAAGAAACTGAAGCCACTTCGGAGAAGGCAGGGAGCGCGACCAAAGCTCGAGTCTTTTCTAACGGGAACTTTTGGCCAGCTGCGGAACTGAGGATGCGCAACCGAATCTGCGAAAGACTGGTACAACCGGCCAGATGGTCGCCGTCTGAGACAACTTAGAGGTCATGGCGTTCTTCTTGATGAAGCGATAGTCTCCTCTGGCCTCTTTTCTGGAGTGCACCTTCTTCCAGGTTTTGCTTTTTATCCTCCAGCTCTTTCTCTGCGTGGGCCTGAATGTGCCGGGTTACATCGCTGCGGGCCTCTTAGCCGATGCAGTGTCCGCGGTGATGCCGGTCGATTGGCACTTGGCCTTTCATCTCGGTCTTGATGCTGGTCATCATGACGTCGAAGTCGAAGATCTTGCTTACCAAGTGGCTCATTGCGTGCCGGTTCCGTCCTCAAGAAGTTCCGCTCTTCGGATATGGCACCACCTTCCTCGCGATCTGGTACCGGCTGATATCTGGTACCGGCTGATAGGTGCACGGGTGGGCAGCAACGTTTGCATCATGGCTCTCTCTGGGGAGGGTGTTGTCAGCTCCCACTCTGTGATAGCTACAGGCCCAGGTTCAAGACATAGGTCAGAATTCGTTACTTTTGGGCACTGACGATCTGCGGGCCTACGGCCCGCTGCTCCCACGATCGTAGGGGCTCTAAAGTCTTTGCAAAACGGGATTTAGAAGTGCTTTAGGGGGGCGCGTA